TCAAGAACGTAAACCTACCGGTACGTAAATCCGAGTCAGCTGACACGATTTGTCTTACCAGAGCGCCATCGTCGCCTGGGTACAAGATTGTCGTAAGCGCCATTTTGACGATTTTTAGTTCTAGAAAGAGCTTAACTTTCATAAAATAACATTAAATAAACTAAGGAAGAATAGCCAAAACTTACTAAAATTTCGAGTTCTAATTTCTATTTTGGTCACCGTATTTATTCCTCGATTCGAATCACATGCATTCTGATTAGAAAATAATAACTGTTTATGGAGAAAATTACGATCATATACCAACATCACTTAAAACTCGTTCATAGGCATGCCATTTTAATGAGCTGTTAAGCCAACGAAACACCGAATACGGGACATTAAAAGAAATACAGAACATTTGGCGTCCCGTATAAAATAAATAAATTACAAGGACATTGGGTCAAAAAAGAGGACTGTCCCGTATAATACAGGACGGATGGTCACCGTACGTATACAGACAGCGTTTAAGTATAAGTTCTGCGTTCTTGACTAATTTCACATTAAAAGCCACTTAAAATTTACAGAAGGTAATGAAATTCATGTACAAAATTTTGCGTAAATGTGCTTCTTTACAGTAGCCATGGGTAATTGCGCAATTTTTTGGCGCTAGCTCAATAACGCCAGTGCCACCTGTGGTGTCAGCGCACTAACCCAGCGCAATAGCGCAGTGTATTGAATTGAACACGGCGCCATCTGAGTGTCACCACAGTACCCATTGTCATACAGTGCAGTACACCATACAGTGGTGTCATGTCTATTATTTCTGTAAGCGCTGAGCAACGCTTGCACCGCCAACTGAATTTAATTGTTAGGAATGTACTAAATGCCACGATATTTTATCATTCTTGAGTAAAAGCTTTAAATTTGCGTTCTCAACACTCAAATGCAAAAACAAAGCACGTGTAAATTTTCAAAGAGTTAAGGCGAATTGTGTGTGTGCCTCTTAAATTGCTTGGTGTTAATGGCGCTGGTGCTTTATATTTACTGGTGTTGGCACGGCAACTCCGGCTATGGTGTTAACGCAATTGCGCCGTGCAGTGCTGTGCTACCCATTCCTACTTTACAGTAAAATAATAATATGAAAACATAAAAACCAACAACGAAAACAAAAGATAATATTATTTAATTATTTCAAGATCTACTAGAGCATACGCCGTTGATAAGTCCAGCAGAGGTGATTCTCTACATGAAGAAATGCAATGTTTACTTAGCGGGGTGAGCGATTGAAATCGAGGAACTGAATAAAACAACAACAACAACAGAAACAAATATACTAAAAAGGCCGCGTAAGCAAAACTTTCAGAAAGCTGCACAAGCGACGCTACAGAAGATTATTTTATTAAAATTAGCTTCATTTCCCCAAACGATTAATCTTGGAATACCCAAAATGGATGAAGTTAAAGTGGATGTAAGTGGAGAAATGAATGTACCCAAAGAGCAACAAAAGTCTCAATTTGATTTCAAAAGGTTCATACATAAATTAATTACAAATATATAGATAAAGTGGTTTTAATTAAGAAACAACTGATTTTGATTGTGTTAATCATAACCGTAGTTTTTGGACACTGCAAAAAATACCGAGCCCACTGGAAATTGTACAACTAACGCGCAAATACATTCGGCCATGGTCGGAGTTTATGAACACTGCTAACTTTAAGGCTGCAGCGAGTATGCCACGTTTGACGAGTCGATTTATCCGGAACATCACATACTTTCAAAGCAATTACATCTTTATTTTTGTTATACTGATGATATACTGTCTGTAAGAGCTTAGAAATCTGAAACTTTAGGATAAAATCAAAAGTTCACCTTTTTCCTTTGAAGCATTACCTCACCTTTAATCTTACTGGTTTTGGCTGCTGTGGGCTACGTTAGTCATAGAATTAAGAAGACACAAGCTCCCGTCAGTATTTTTGGACACCAATTATCAACCAATCACCAAATAATGGTTGTGAATATAGCCTCTGCTCCTATATTATTTATAGCAGGTGCAGGAGCGGCACTATTCTGGACACTGGGTTCGTACTCCAGCTTATATTGTCACTCATTTGCACTCACGCATTTGCAATGTAAATATGTTGATTTATATTTTTGTAGGGGCTTCTTGCTTTGTCATCTCTTTGCATGCCATATTCTACAATATCGATGCAATTGTAACTGAAGAGAACGAGGGATTCCTAGCAGAAGTCGTGTAAACAAACCCCGAACATGTAAACACTTAATATACATACTATAAAAAAAATTCAGCCACATGTTTAAAAATATTCATTTACCAAAATTTAATTATTAATAAATGTACATACATACATTTATCTTAATATAAAAACAGATCCGGGGCCTTAACTCCTGAATGATATTTTATAATCATTTAAAATAAACAATATGTACAATTTTGTATTATGAGAGTATGTGCACATACATACATATCTAATGCTAAAAACTCTACATGCCAGACTTATACATTCAGGTTCTGCAATTAACAAACCAGTACAGGCGGCTCTGCAAATTATATAGTGCTGAAATTCGGGAGTAAATTGCAGAACCTGCTTGGCAGTTAATTTTTATATAAAAAATATTCGCCCTCATTGCGAGAGTTGTGTCGAATGCAAGTCGTTTTTCGAGAGTCGAATCGTATCGAAAATTTCACGTCATTGCCTAAAATTTCCAATCGGCTAGTGTATTAAAATATTGTCGAATCGTAAAATTTACCCTAAGAGTGAGGCTGAATATGTACATGCGAACATACAGCATAAAAACAAAAATTAAACCTGAACTGTAGAACCTTGCAGCATGAGAGCCTGGGAAATTGTCTAATAAAACGAAAGCATAAATTCAAGGCCCTACATAGTATTTGGCATACATCACCCAACTGTTCAGCTATGAAAAAATTACAGAAGATATAAGAGGTTAAAATAAAATGTTTAGATATTTTAAAATATTAATATTTTCTAAACTACATAACCGATTAAAAAAATAATTATGTCAAAATAAAGACAATTAATTTATCTTTTAGTATAAAAATTGTACATGCTTGTTTATTATTGTAAGCCAAAAATATTAAAAAACAAAAAGTTTCATAATTGTTTCATAAAATAACCTATTTTGTAAAAAAGTGCATAAGCAAAGCTAAAGAAATTTATATTCGGCCCTATCGCGAATTTCACGTGAACAAATATTCACAAAAATTATAAAGCAAAACAAAAATAATTTTTCCCAATTTGTTTTTGTTTTTCCATACAAAATACATTGGGCGTCAAGAGAAAAGCGTGAATAACTTTCGTCTCGAAGCATTGCCACAAAATTTTTTTGCAAATAATTACTAATAGCACGTACAACAATATTAGCCCAAAACGCGATTTTAAAGCCATTGAGATGTCAGTGATATTTTAAAAAAATTTTAATAATTTAAAAAAATGTATGGCCAAATAAAAAATAAAAGTGGGGGAAAAACACCATCATTCTCTGTCTAAAATATGAGCCGAATCGGTATTACCAATCGCGAGAAAACAATTAAATCTACACAATTTCGAAAAATGTTAATACCTATCTAAAGCTTCCAAAATAATTCGATTTTCGAAAAATTGTGAAACTTGTATTTTTCTTTTATCGTTGTGAAGCATAAACAGATAATTGCACAAAAAGCTCGATCTATCTATATAGTAAATTAAGTAAATTGGACTATAGTTGGAAGTTATCAGTGCTGATTCAATGCAATACTTTTATTTTTTATAGCTAAATTAAAAACATACGTATAGTTCACGAACAACTTATTAATCGGACACAGTTTAAAACCATGTCATGTAGTTTATTTTCAGTTTGCAAGATTTAAAAAATATACTTATGTATGTATTTATAGGTTTGGTTTTTTCTCTCGGTCGCTTGAGAAGTTTCGGAATGAAAGTAACCTTAGTTTTTTATTTAATGTTGTGGATTTAGGATGATGTTGCACTGATGTTTGAAGTTGATGGTCACTTCGTTATTCGTTGTGCATGTATACCTCGCAATACTCGATTTCCGCACAAGAAAGTGAATATTGCTATTGGAATGAGCAAACGCAGTGTTTGGAACATGTTTAAGTTGAACCAAAAAACTACAAATAACGCCAAAATGCCACCAAAACCCGCATGAAAACCAATTGTACAGGGTGCGAACGAAAAGTTGGAGACGTTTATTCCCAGCTTGACCCAGAAAATGAATAGCAACACCAAGGGTGTTAAGCATAAACCGGTGAATACATCTGAAACAAAACGAGGCGGACGTTTTTCGGGAGGACGGAACAAATGTTCTATTTCCGGCAACATGCTACGAATTGCTTGCTTCTTCCTTGTCTCTAAATAAAGATTTAACGATATACTTAGGTAATAAGATATACATATAATACTTACCGTATTCATGGGAAAATTTTAGCTGAACGTTCGCTACGTGCCACTGGAATGAATTTGAGATTGAAGCATCGCCAATAATCAAGTAAAGTTCATATTCCCCCGATTTGTAATCGAAATCTGCACCATGTGAACCTACATCCATGTCGAACTTGTAAGCTTTGTTACTATCTTGTTCTGCAACGAATATAATTTCCTCTTTGGTATCTGTATTGGTAAGCCGCACAAATGCCTGATGAACTGAAATTACCTGCGAAATATAAAAATTTATGCCGGTGTAATCGGTATTAATAATTTTTAAGGAACCTTTGTTGTGCCTTCATCTATAAGTACAGATTTTAGCAGCAGTTTTTGGGTTGTATCAGCCTTTAATGTATGTGGCAAAGTTTGCGGATAGGTGACACTTTGCTTTTTTACTGCTGAGCTCGCGTCTGATTCTGCAACACCAACTTCCAGAGAATGCACTTTTATTCGTCCAAGTACCTTGAATTGCAATGTCTGAGTGTATATGTTGTCCGCGTTGATTTCTGCTAAGTATATGCCACGAGTGGGTTTATAGTTCGATAGCTGCGCTGCATAAACAGTTTTGTCGGATGACTTCGGCACGAACTGAACTTTTTCGGCAAGTACGGTATTATCTTTTTTCAACAATATTTTCCCATAAATATTTTGGGGTGCTGGAGTTAAAGATTTGCCCAACAAATCAACAACCTTTACGTTCAGTACATGATTGTCAGACTGTAATTGACCATTTCCTATCAATTGAATACAAATCGGTGCAATTTTTTCCGCTGCTCCCAAAGTTTTCAATGCTTCAATAAGCAAATGTGCACCCTTAGCCGATTGCACGGATCTACGATTAAGAAAGTATGTAGCAAACTTCACAGCTTGTTCCGCGTTTAAGGGTGCTGCTTTCTTAAAAGTATCTGTTACTCGAAATATTCCATTTACGACCAAGGCAGTTATGCTAAGGCCGCCTTCAAATTGTAGCATTTTTCCATCTACTTCGTCGGCTTGAACGACGGCATCTTCGACACGATCAGCCACAAACGCTGCACTAGGACCCAACTCACTTGCGACGTTGAAAGCATAACCGAAACTAACGATTGAATCATCTTTCTTTAGTAAATCCTGCAGAGATTTTACAAGTTTCGCTGTATTTTGTTCATCAATTTGCACACCCAGAAGTTTGTAGCTCATTACACGAAAATAAATTTCCTGAGTTGAACTAAGTTCGGACTTCAAAGAATTGTACACTTTCGATAATAGTTCTTCCGGCAATTTATCCTTGCATCGTATATTTTTGCTGGCCCCAACGAGGTAAAAATCTTTCTCATAAGCCTACAAAAATACATGTGTAGATATAATTAGTCAGAAGCTTAGATATATATCTAAATTCTAAAAGC